GGAATAATTTTTTTTCAAACTCTTAACAAACATGAGCATAACCATTTTCTAAAGATTATTCCTAGGAACTTAATTCTTAAACTTGAAACAAACACCCCCTATGTTGGTCAGATTTTGATCAAAATTTCTTCGATCAACTTGATTCACCTCCGCCATATAATAGCTTTGGTCAGCTTCGATGTTTTCTACAATTCCATCTTCTCTCCAAATTGCCACACGCTGGTGCATTGAAGAGGGAACTGCGCCAATTCCATGAATCCACTCACGGCCCAAAAGTAAGTTGTAGTTTGTCTTGGTCGTTATGACAATGAACATGATTGGTCTTATAATGATTCCTACAGTTAGATCAATTTGAACTACACCGAGAGTATGACCAATCTTCCCTTCGTAGTTAGATAATACCATATTATGGGGTTTTATATCTGTATCATACATACCTATCCTCTTCAGCAAGAACTGAGGCATTAGGTTGACAGCAGCACCCCCGTCTATCATCACTTTGTTGATCCCCACTTGTTCAATCTTTCCTCTAATAAATAGAGGCTTCAAGTGATTCTTCATACTTTGGTCAAGTCTTTCAAAAAACGTATTATGTTCTTCGACTGCTTCGTTATTCATAACATAATAGCACACAGGCTTGTGCTTCGCCACTTCTAATTCATCTGCTTCTTCAGAACCTTCTATCTCCGTCACTTGGTTATATTCATGGGGTAGTACAGAAACTACATTGCAGTTGATATTCAAAGAGGACTCCTCATCTGAGTCGAAGTTGTCAGTAAGCATGTCCTCGTCATTAGTTGGTTCTTCGTTAGTCCTTTCGACTGGCACCTATGTCTTCTTAAGGGAAAAAGCCTCCTTTGTGTTGGGGACTTGTCTTCGACAGGTGCAGCAGACGAAGTCTGATTCGTACTTGATTCCCCTACTTTGTTGCTTGTGAGTTCTCTTTGAGCCTTCTTGGTCCTCTGGTATCTTCGCCATTGGGACCTTCTCATTGGGTTTTTTCCTTTATAGTTCTCAGACACATAGACTTGTTGCTTCGTTGACTGGAACTGCCTTCGATATGCCCATGCTGATCTGCCACCTTCCTCGAAACTCTTTCATTTCCTTTTGCATTTTCCTTCCCCCTTGCTTTGACTAAAATTCAACCACTTGTCTGTTGGGATATTGGCTGGTGACTTGAAGGTGACTTGTCGATTTACTTTGGGGTATGGGCTCTCTGGCCTTTTCAGAATTCCTTTTGCATTGGTTACATACCTCTCCCTGCTATTTCTTTGATTGTTCCAACATTGAGCATAAGGAATTCTTTCAAATGCTTCAGCTGCTTTTCTATCATAAACAACGCTACACCGTGGGCACATTAAGACTTCTGATCCTGTCTTATGACAGCGAACCAGAAAACTCATCAAGCTTTCTCCCATTTTTGGTACAGCAACTCTTTATCACTCTTCCAGTTGTTTCCATCCCTCTCTTGGTACACTTTCTGGTATGTTGTTGCAGCGCCTCGATCATTTGTAATGTTGCACCTAAGACACACTAGTCCTTCAGAATTCTTCGTATGACAATGAAAAAGATACTCGACCAGGCTTACTTTTTAGTGGCCAGTTCGCATCCTGTCATTCTCCATCTTCAAACGTCTTTCGATCTTCCCCATTTCTGGGGACAGCTGGTTCAGATCCACCATATTTACTTCGAATTTGAGACCTTCAGCGATCTCAAGCTCTTCGAGTCTGACTCTAAGACCCTCAATAGTCTTGGCCTTGCCAGCAACTTTGGCATTGCCAGCAACTTTGGCATTGCCATCAGTAGCATTGCCTTCTTTCTGGCCCATGAGACCCTCAGTGGCCTCTAGCCCCCGAGTATCTTTCGATACCTTGTCAGCGTCGAGTTGACCTCCTTCGATTTTGACAGCATCAACCATGTTGATATCTACAAGCTCTACAAAGTTTGTCTCAGCAATCTGAAGAGAATTTGTGTCGACCTTCATGAGGTTCTTGGGCTTCTCTCCGAACTTTAGCCTTCCTTCCTTGATAGCACTCTATATTAAGTCCCTGAAAAGATAGCATTGTGAGGTTTTATGGCCTAAGAAATTATGATACTTACAAAAGCCCATTTTCTTTTGTTGTTCTAACGGAAGAATTTTAGCACCAGGAGCACTATCATTTGATCATCTTTTACTAACAAATCAAAGATTTTGTCACACTTGGTGATGTCAAAAGTATAGGTTTTCTTTGGGAATTTGTCATTCCTTTATGGTTCGACGGAATTTTTTCCGTTCGCATGCGTTAACACTTTACAAGGATATGGTGGTCCTTGCTTTAACTCAGCAATATCTATCATGTGTTCTTCAACCTCTGAAAAATCATCTTCGACATCTCTTTCATCTGAGCAGGCTCCGATATAAGCCAATCTTTCTTTCCTATGGCTTTTGTTAGCCCTTGCTTTTTCGATCTTCAAACGCTCCACGTGTCGAACCCTGTCAGCCAGTTGTGCCATCTCTTAGATACTGAGGATCTAACTTCTTCCTGATAGAGAAGTCCAATTCTCTTATTTCCATTTCGACCAACTCGTGTTCAGACACTTGTGTGAAACATCTTGCCTTCAACAGACGAAACCTGTAAACATACTCATCTATAGGCTCGTTGAATTTGCGCTTAACGTTTGCCAATTTGCTCAGACTAATTTTGGTTTGACCTACATAAAATTGTTGATGAAATAATCTCTCTAAGTGAGTTCAATCATGGATGGAATTCGCTGCAAGAGTGGTAAACCAAGTAAAAGTATTTTTGATTAGTGAACTAGAGAAATATTTAATCCTTAGATTCTCATTGTTTGTTATATTCCCTGCTTCTGTAAGACATCTAGCAAAATGTTCTATGGTTGACTCACTGGTGTCACCAGAAAACTTTGTAAGTTTTGACACTTTTCATCCCCTAGGCAACTCAGTTTGCTGGATGTATTCAGACAAAGAGGATGTATAACTTGGCCTTCACGTGCCAATATTCACTCCACTACGTGTCATGATTTTTTCGACTATGACTGCTAGATTATTATTTCCTACCATATCATCTTGTCGACATCTTTGGAGAACTTCGTCAGCATCTTGGTTGCAATTCACCATGACTACCCTTCTTCGTGGTTTCTCCCTGAGAATAGCCTGTTGAAATCTGGATGGTTCTTCCCTTCGAACTGGTTGTTGAAATTTGACTTCTCGGTGTATTATTGGTTGAGATTCTAAGGCATGTAAAAGAAACTCTAAAATATGGAGTGTTATTTTTGTCTGAAAGAAAGATCGAATCAGAACTTTTGAGTTATTCTGATTCTGATTGGTTTGGAGATAGAGTTGACAGAAGAAATACTTCTAAATACTTATTCAAATTTCTGAAAGGTCTATTTCTTGGTGTTCCAAGAAGCAACCTATTATTGCTCTGTCAACTTGTGAAGTTGAATATATTACATGCGCTCTGACTGCGTGCCAAGCTGTATGAATTCTGAACTTGCTGAAAGATCTGAAGATTGAGGTAAATAAACCTCTAAAGCTGATGATTGATAACAAGTCTGCAATCAATCTTGCCAAGAATCCATTGTTGCATGGGAGAAGCAAGCATATTGAGACTAAATATCATTTTTTGAGGAATCAAATTCAGAATGGAATATTAAAAGTTGTGCACTGTAGCACCCAGAAGCAGGTGACAGATGTTCTGATAAAGACTATCAAAACTGATCAATTTCTTGATTTAATCTTATATCTTTATTAGAAGATATATTTTAGATTTAATTTTGTGTATAAATAACCTAGTGGAGTAGGTTATTGTAATTCATTGTAAATCCTTGTTTTTGAAGCTGTCAGTAAATATTTCTTTTGTCTTTTATCTTCCTTGTGCACCAACAAAATCTGTTTTAAAATACACCTTACCAACCAAAAAGGTCCCAATAACATTATTTTCAAGGTATACTTATCGGGCCGTGGAAGTACTCTGTCATTCTGGCAGTGGAAGAAATCTTAAACTCATTGCAACTCTAAAACATGGTTTCCAAATTAGGTCTGTATAGAACTACTAGTATATATGGTTTATTCAGCAATCTGCATGCTCATTACCAAACACAGTATATGCGGTATAACTGTCTTCCAAAACACATGTTGAAAGTATAGGAATTCTATATAATCCAAACACTAGAGCTTTAAAGTTTCTTTTTTCTTTTTTCTTTTTTCTTGGAGTGCTTATAGGTTTTGTAAAACTAAAGGAGAAATTTTATAGTCGTGACGGTTTACCCCTAATGATAACCAAGAGGAGCCGGTGCGTCTCGCAGTTCTTTACCGTGGAAGTGGATATCCTGCATGAAAGAACAGAATCGTATTAGAAAAAAACAGGGAACACCAATGCCCAGCATTTTTATCAAAAAGGGGGAAAAAACAATGTACGGCATTTGAGATAACAGACATGGTAAATCAGGTAACCTGTGTCTCAAAACAACTATGAATCAACCACTTTCTTTATACTAAGTTTTCAACATAAAACATGGCAACAAATACTGGGACTTCCATGAGAACAAATCAAATCACAAAATGTATCGAAAGCCAAGGTGGTTACAATTATCTTTTTTTGCAAAAGCATAATAGAATAATGTATTACTGATATGCACAAAGATTTTCATAATGTCTTGCAAGTAACCTCCAAAGAGAAACTGATGGGAAGTATAATTAGATATTTTAAATAGTAATATAATTATGTTAGTTGTTATCTTTAAATATTGTTGAATTGGACTTTTAATAGAATTTGGACTTTATAATTAATCATCCATTGAGAATTATATATATGTAGTGTAGTGTCTATGACACATTAGAAGATATGAAATAAAATGAAAATATCTTTAATTTTTAATAGCTAATTTTCTTTGTCTTCTCTAGTGTAGAATTTTAGGATTTTCTTAGTCTTGATAGAGTTTATGTTTTAGTTCTCTGTCAATTGGTGCTTTCATCTTGAACTTCAATCCTTCCTTCCATGGCATATCCATATTCTCATTACTACATTCCATACACTCCATACATTTCATATCAACCACAACCACACATAATTTCTATTTCACCTCAACAATCATCTTCTACCTTCTATAAACATTCAAGTTACCATAGCTACCAACCTCAATCTCAAAATTTCTATTCACAACTAGAAACTCTCAAACAATACTTGATTGAAACTCATGAAATCGAAAACAAATCTAGAGAAGAGATGAAGGAACTGATTCAAAAATTTGGTGACTCTCTCAAAGCAACACAGGAAAGGAAATTGTTTGATAAAGTCAGTCACTCCTCTACTAAAGTTGAGAAGGAAATTTTCATTTCCAATAATGTAACCAACACATCACAGCCTTTACTGGTTGACTCATCTTTGAACACTAGCAGTGAAGTGGAACTTGATCCCGTAGTGGAAAAGGGCACTTCTTTTGAGGATAAAGAGGAGATGCATGTCCCTTGTATCAGTAATTCTCCAAAGATTTGTCAACAGCTAACGAAGGTCATAACATGAACAAGGAGAACAACAACTTAATGGAAAACGAAGATTGTTCACAACCCATTAGTTCTCAATTGCGTGAACTTCAATCTCTCGTTTCAACAACTCCGATGATTATTCTATCATCCTCTCCAGGAACAATTCAGACAGAATCCGACGCAGAAGAAATCAGAGAGCTTTTGGTTTCATTGAAATCATCTTCGATGACATTCCCGGTGTCGACAACACTTTTGACACCATATTCATCTCCTTCGACGAAGCTATTAGATTTACAACTGCCTTTGAAACTACCGGAGCCACCGCAATCAAAACAACCAAAGCAACTCAGTCTAAATGAATCAGTGGGGTACGTCGATCCTTCATCACTATCTATTCCGAAACAGGAGAAGAATCATTTCCCTTCTTGGTTTGATTTTGCGATTCCTCCAAAGCCACCAGATAAGATTGATTTTGGGTCTTTGTGTTATGAAACAAGTGAGTCAAAAAGAAATACTGAAACTAGAGTCTCATACGTTGCCCACCATGTGTATGTTGATATACCACTGCCAACCATTCTCAAGGCTGCTATGTTAGGTGGAGGCGGACTTAGAGAAGAAGCTCATAATCCCCTGTGTGGGCATCGTGATAAAAGTCACTTTTGGGAATTTATCATACATGGTAGTATCCCACATGATTTCACATGGGTTGCTAAGATATGTCATCAGAAATTCTTCAAAATTTACAGAGAATGTGAAGCGTACAGAAAAGTCAATCTTCAGTGTGTTACTGTTATTGACGAAGTAATCCAAATAATCGAAGAATTTCGATCTTGCTAATGAAGTGATTTTGGATGTTGAATCGCCAGACAAGAGTTTTTAAATGTTGTCACTGTGCTCTCCGTGGCCGATCTTAATCTCCTGTGCAAGCGTCATGCTAAAAGTCACTTTTGGTTCTTTACCAGCATCCAACAGTATTTCACACAGGCTTTCAATTGGGCATGCCGGCTTCAAATCATTCTTATTTATGTTTTTGATGTCAACACCATATTTCTTGATATTGCAAAGATACTGAACTTCGACATCAATGTTATTACTTATTCGAAAAATTCTGTTGGTATGGCTGATATTTTAGGGATTTTGCTAATCATTGAAAATAATAATATTCCACATAATGCATTAATTGTTAGCTCATGTTTAATGGGGTCTATTAAATCACTACGGGAAAAACATGATATCATTGAAGGTTTGTATTTGAAATTTGTTCTCACTATTGGCTATGAAGGTCACTGTTATTGGAAGCAAACTCTCTGTTCTTGCAGCAACACATGGGAGTATTATTCATGCAAGCAAGTTGTTTGAGAGACAGACTTATAGAAATGTTGTAATATGGTCAAGTGTATTTAAAATTTGTGCTTTCTTCCGCATAATTACTTTGGGTTCCTACTCCTTCATACACTCTTTGTGTTTTGCTTGTCTAGTATTAACTTTTCAAAATCATCATACATGCCATGATGTGGAACTCGTGAGTACTATCACATTTCCTCATGCTTAGGTTTCTCTTTAGATACCCAATGATTCACAAAGAACAAAGATGAGACAGCAAGCATTCACAATTCTATGGTATCTCAATCCAATTAATAGAGAAGCTTCAAGCTACTTTAAATATACATGTGCTTTAGTCTAATAGTAAAATAGTTTTATCAAAGGAGGATCCAAAGGCGTCAAATTGGGTCTCTGAAGATGCAAATGTTTTTGTAAAGCAAGCCAATAATTTGTTGGCCCGCATACCTGCTCCACCTACATTTGCATCAGAGTTTCCTACTAAAGAGTTTACTATTAGGATGCATTTGCAACCTTGTCTGGTTCAGCACATATAACTGCAGGTATGAGTATGATCAGCATTATAGACATTATTTTTGGAGGCAATGCGATGGATTGGATGGTGGACAAGAATGGAGGTTTTCACACCATTATGTCTTCTGGATTTTCCCAAACTGATGTTAACTCTGTAACTCTGGTGCCTACTTCTGGCTTAGTCTGTAGTAAAACTGCATTTATATTTGTTATGGAAAATGGTAACAACATTATTGGTTGGACTTTGCTTGTTATGGTTGTTCCGTTTAAGTAATGGGATCCGGGAGTAATTTTAGAAGTTTGAGGACAAGATTCAATGTGAACCAGGCGGCAATGATTAGAGGTGCAATTAGATATTTTAAGTAGTAATATAATTATGTTAGTTGTTACCTTTAAATCTTGTTGAATTGAACCTTTAATAGAGTTTGAGTCTTATGGTTAATTATCCATGAAAATGTCTTTAATTTTTAATAGTTAGTTTTCTTTGTCTTCTCTAGTGTAGAATTTTAGGATTTTCTTAGTCTTGATAGCGTTCAAGTTGTAGCTCTGTTTACCGTGAAAATTGGTAAACAACCGCTGATCTTTCAAAAGGTTACTTATTTGGTGACTAGCAGGATCGATCAGATTGATCCTAAGACATGGTTGATTTTCTGGAGTTTGACTAATCCTAATGGTGATTAATGTCAGTAAAGTAAAGACACTTTAAGTAAATTGCATGAAGAAAAGTTTGATAGAATAAATAAGAGCGTTAAGTAAAAGGCTTCGACGGAGATAAGTAAATGAAAAGCGATAAATTGCTTGAATATAAAAGACTTGATTAATTTAAATGGTGTTTCACACATACATTCTCAATGATTCTTTCTCTCACGCTGGGTACTTGAATCTAAATGAGTGACTTGTATAAAATGATGAACACACGCGAAAACTACGTGAACAACTAGTATTTATACTAAAACAAATCCTAAGTAACCGCTGGGCAGTTACACTGCTTCGAGATGACGCTACATGGCACGCTCACAGCCTTCGACGCTTCTGTTCTCGGCACGTTGCACTTGGTAACTGCTGGGAACCGTTTTCCCTCCAACAATTCAAATCTCAAACCGTTCAACCTTGGGCATCAGGTACCTTTGTCGAGAGGTTCCTTCGACGTCGAAGACAACAAGATTCCCACTTAAAGGAATTTCTCTAAGTATCTTGTCATTCTTTGATGACCCTTCGACATGATCAGTTGGTCGAAGCCTCCTTATGTAGGAAACTCTTCTGACTCATAATTAATGGTTTATATGATAACAAACAAGGGTGTCGAATTTAGGAGCCAACAAATTGCCCCCCAAGAATGTCTTATTTCGACGCTGAAAAGAAAAAGGCATTCTTTGAGATTCCATTCGACACCTGTCCTTCACTCTCAGCCACAAATTAGTTTGTGTGTTTTTCGTCTCCTACCAACCAACTGACAATCTCAAAAAGTCATCATTTCACCCGTTCCCAAGACGTCACTTCAGTAAGGCATTTAGCACGCACGATGTCTTTTCAAATGTTGTCCTCCCAATAAACCTCAGAGGAAATATCTTGATGTCTTTGAACCCTTGCTGATTGAAGACAAATTTCTGTTGGCAATACTGCGTCATGACCACAAGATCTGGTGTTGTACCTGTGGCTTCTTTTGGGGACGTTCGACAGGCCCACAAGATCTGGTCTAACGTTTTATGCCAATTTTTTGGCTTCTTTCCTACATGCTTTTTTATCAGGCCAATCACTATTTTATTCGCTGCTTCGACTTGACCATTTTCCTGTGCGTAATAAGGCGTTGATGTTAGGAGTCTAAAGCCTGTTTCTTGAGCGAATTCCTGCATCTTTCGACCAGTAAACACCGACCCTTGATCAGTTGTTATAGTCTCAGGGATTCCAAATCTGTAGATAATGTTCTTTTGAATAAATTCAATGACATTTTCTTGGTCTGCATTGACTAAAGGGATAGCTTCGATCCATTTAGTGAAATAAATGCCTACCAGTATATACTTCTGGCTCTTTGATGATGCTGGTCGAATCTCTCCAATAAGATCCAACGCCCATCCTCTAAAGGGCCAAGGTTTCACTATTGAGTGAAGTTCGCTTGCTGGTACATGTTGGATACCAGTATGGACTTGGCATTCTTGGCAACCCTTCGCGAACTCAACACAATCTTTCAAGATAGTGGGCCAATATAGTCCTTGTCGAAACAACAACCATTTCATCTTATGACCTACTTGGTGAGCCCCACATGCTCCAGCATGCGTAGTTGAAAGGGCTATATATGCTTCGGTTTCGCTTAAGCATTTTAATAATACCCCTTCAGGCGTCTTCTTGAACAACTCATTACCCATGAGTACGTAACTCAACGCCCTATACTTTATTTTTCGTTCTGTCAAAGCTGCTGGATTTTGTAGATAATCTACAATGGGTTTCCTCCAATCCTGCTCTGACAAATTGTCTATGAACGAAATTTCAAAGTTCCTTTGATCAGCATACCCTAGTCTTGTCGATTCCAAATCTGTTGGAGACAGGCTGGTTGCTTTTATTTTCTCTCGAACTTCGATTGCTCTTTGTAATCTCATTTTTGAAATTTTGTACCCAGATGCAATTTGTGCCAAGTCATTGGCTACTTGGTTTTCCAACCTAGGTATGTGTCGAATGTTAACCACTTCGAATTTTTTCAATAAACGATTTGCTATCACAAAGTACATAATAAGATTTTCTCTTATGCATTTATACTCTTTTGTGACTTGCTTAATGACTAACTCTGAATCTCCCATTATTTCGACTCGAGTTGCCCCCAATTCCAACAATATCTCAAGGCCAGTAATTAGAGCTTCGTACTCAGCCTCATTGTTCGAACAAGTACCTTCTATCTTGTACTTGAATGTTGTTGGAATTTTTTCTGGAGAAATAATTAAAACCCCTACTCCCGTTCCATCTTTATGACTGGAACCATCGAAGTAAAATTTCCAAGGTTCTATCTCCACGTAATTTATATTTTCAACTTGAATTGAGTGGTCGACTATAAAGTCTGCTACCACTTGCCCTTTTACTGTCTTAAGAGGCATAAAGGTCAATGAATACTCAGTTAATGCTAGCGCCCACTTGCCAATTCGACTGTGCAAGATGAGTTTCGACAACATATATTTGAAAACATCAAAATGAGACGAAACATACACATCAACTGGTTTTATATACTGTTTGAGCTTTGTACAAGAGAAATAAAGACATAGACACAATTTTTCAACTTCGTTGTATCTAATTTCTGCATCGTTCAAAACTCTGCTAAGGTAGTAAATGGGTCTTTCGACTCCATTTTCATCTTCCTGGACTAACATGCTTCCCAAAGTTTTGTCGGATGCAGCTATGTACAATCTCATACTCCTATTGCTACAAGGAGGCACCAAAATAGGTGGCTTGGTGAGATACCCTTTGATCTTATCGAAGGCTTCTTGTTGCTCTTGCCCCCACTCGAATCCTTCCTTATTCAATCGAAGTAAGGGTGAGAAGGCTTGAGCTTTTCCACTTAGGTTAGATATAAATCTCCTTAAGAAATTTATCTTGCCCAGCAGAGATTGCAGTTCCTTCTTGTTCGTTGGCGCTTTCGCTTCCAAGATTGTCTTTGTCTTGTTCTGGTTGATTTCGATTCCTTTCTTGTGGACGACGAAACCCAAGAAATCTCCAGCTTTCACACAGAAAGCACACTTCAAAGGGTTCATTTTCAGACCATGTTCTCTCATTCTTTCAAATGATTGTCGAAGGTGGTCTATATGATTCTTCCTGAAAACAGATTTTACAACAATATCATCAATATATACTTGCATAAAAGTGTTAATAAAATCATGGAAGATAGAGTTCATCGCTCGCTGATATGTTGCCCCAGCGTTTTTTAGGACAAAAGGCATCAATATCCATTCGTAAGTGCCTAAAGCCCCGGGGCATCGAAAAGCTGTTTTCGACACATCTTCTTCAGCAATAAAAATTTGATTGTACCCTGAGTAACCGTCGAGCATGCTCAGGTACTCATGGTCAGCAGCAGAATCGACTAGCATTTCCGCCACAGGCATAGGATATTCATCTTTGGGTGTTGCAGCATTCAAATCTCTGAAATCTATGCACACCCTCAACGTACCATTTTTCTTAATTACTGGCACAATGTTTGCAATCCATTCGACATACCTCGTAGCTCGTATGAATTTGCACTTCAGCAGTCTTTCGACTTCCGTTTTGATCTTCGACAGTATTTCTGGAGCGAAGCGTCTTGGACATTGCTTGACTGGCTTCTTTCCAGGTTTGATTGGCAACTGAAGTTCTACCAATCCTCTGTTGAGACCAGGCATCTCGTCGTAATCCCATGCAAAGCAGTCCTTGAACTCCTTTAGTAATTGGATCACTTCAACCCTGAGCTCTGGGTCTATTTTGACGCTGATGTAAGTGGGCCTTTTCTCTAACCCTTCGCCCAAGTTGATTTCTTCTAAAGGATCCTGTGCTAACATTTTGATGTTGTTCGCCAGGGGGTCCTTTTCGAATCCCAAAGACTCATCGTCATAGATGGCGTCGAGCCTTTGATCCTGCATTTCTTCTGTCATGATATCAGGAGGTTCTGGATCAAAATTTTTTCCAAGACCTGTATCCGGTGGTTCTGGGTCGAAGTCTTTTCCAGGACCTGCAGAAGGTAGCTCTTGGTCGTTGGCCTGGGTGGCCATATATTTTACTTCGGCTTCGAGAGCCGCTATCATCCTTGTTTCGGCTACGTAAGCCGAAATTCGCTGCAATGCTTGTGATTCAGTCATTATCACTGAATTCACTTCCCCAACCAGTTGGCTGGATGTCAGTTAGCCCACTGAAATCAATGTGGGACAAGTCTTCTTTGTCCCATTGAAACCCATGATCAGGGTGCAGGTACAAGGAACAAAAAGCATTTGGCGCTGGCGCCATGTCGAAGTCAGGTGCTGGGCATGGCCCGATGTGAGCCAAATTTTTGTCGAAGTCAGCTCTCCCTAGGTGATTTACTTCGCCCAAGTAGTAGCTCTGATCTGCTTTTATATTCTCGACAATTCCATCAAGACGCCATAATATTAACCTTTGGTGCATTGATGATAGTACTGCTCCAACACCATGTATCCATTATCGGCCCAACAATAGATTGTAATTTAATTTAGCCGATATGACCATAAACATAGTTGGTCGAAGGATGGATCCTACTTTGAGGACTAGTTGGATCACACCCATGGTGGTCCCTATTCCGCCTTCGTAGTT